CTCTTCCCCCTCCCCCTCCCCCTCCTCCTATTTCCTCCCGCTGCGGCTCATCCTCCTCCTTTCTCTCCTCGTCCTCGTCCTTCTCAATCTTTTCCTCCTGCTCCTCCTGCTGCTGATCCTTCTCCTCCTCTTCGTCCTCCTCCCCCCTCCCTCCTTCTCCTTCCATCACCTCCCCCTCACTCTATGGCGGATGCTCCCTCTCCGCCCTCTACTACTACTGCTGTTCCTCATGCTGCTGCTGCTCCTTCTCCCCGTTCGTTCCATCGGTCCTTACGCCGCATGAGTGGCATGAGAGAAGGCGAGCAGCAACGAGAAGGAGGAAGAAAACAGTAGGAGCTCGACCACAGAAAACTTCCACAAGATACCCAAGCCTGAGGCCCCAGGACGTGCATGGTTTTTTGTGTTGGAACGTCACGCTTTCCGTAGCAAAACCATCGAAACCCAAGACACCCAGAGCAGCCTGGAGGCAAGCAGGGTGTTTCTTGGCATGGGTTTCCACTGCAGTGCCTGGAATTTCTTCGAAATTGTAAGGAGCCGCCAGGACCAGCCCGACCCCTCGCAACCTTCCTCCTCGGCCTCCCTCACTCCCTCCCTCTCTCCTCCGAGGCGCAGGCCGCGCTGTATGTAAAGCAGCTGCTCTGCCAGCCAAGTTTTACGTAACCCATGCAAGAGTTTTGCCTGGTGTGGCACGCCGCGAGAAGAGAAAGCCTGGCCCTGGAAGAAGACCAAGCGGCACCAGCAGGGGCTTTCGGGGTGCCGCGCCGATCCCGCGGATCAGCGCCGGATCTCCCTCCGAGGGCGCCAGGGCCCAGCGCTGGTTCCATACCCCCGCGCGGGGCTCCGAAAGCCTATGGCTGTGCACCTTCTCGTTTCTGTTCTGTGCCCCGCGTCCTCCCGCTCTGCCTCCTCGCCCTCCCCGGCCGAGATTCAGGACCAGCGTGTCGAGCGCGACCACCACGACCACGCCGACCCAGGTGACAACCACGACCGAGGATCGGCGGCGAGCGGAGGGGGGAAGTGGGGAGGAGAAGGCCCTTCTCAGAAGGGCGGCGGGGCTTCTTGGGAGCCCTCGCGCCTTCTGGGAAGTTTTTGGTGTCTTCGGGAAATGCGTAGACAACTTTCCAGAAGGCCGGCGGACTTCCGAGCCTTCTGAGAAGGCCTTCTCCTTCTCGCTTCCCCCCCCGCGCTCGCCGCTGAGAGGAGCCGCCGTCGCTCTTCTGCTTCAGCGTCATCAGGGTGACCAAGCAGAGCACCGAGCCAGAGCTCCTCGCGGCGCAGTACGAGAAGGGGGCCAGCATCTTCAGCTGCGACGCGTACCCAGGGATCCGATGTCGTGATTTTATCAATGCGGGGTCCCCAGAGGTCCCGACCCCTTCCCCGGGACCGATTTTTCATCCTGAGCCGTTTTGTGACAGTCCCGGGGCCCGGCGAGGGCCTTTCGAGGCCGAATGGGGTGAAAAGCCTCCGCCTTGATTTTTCCAATGCGCTGGATCTCCAGGTACACGGTCCTCAGCAACGGCGGCTCGGTCTACCTCGCCGGGAGGGAGACGCCGGAGATCGACGTGTCCACGGTCAAGCTCGGCCACATTGGGGATGCGGGGGTCACGGGCGGCGCGCGCCAGGGGGTGGCGCGAGAGGGGGGTGGCCTCCCGAGAAGGCGGGGGGCTTCCAGGACGGCGCTGGGGGCCTCTCGGGGCTTCCGGGAGGGCCCTCGCGCTCCTCGGAAGCCCCTCGCCTCTGGCAGGAGGCCCTTCCCCCTCGCCCCCGCCCCCCGAGGGCGCGCCACCGAGGTCACCACGAGCTCGTGGGTCAACACGGCGATCTTCATGGAGGCCTGGAACATGGTCGGCGCCGAGGGCACCTTCCGGACCTGCGACTGGACCGTGAAGGCGCCCCGCGGGGGCCGCGGGCGGAGTGCTGTCGGGAGAGGGACGAAGTCTTCGTCGTCGTCGTCGTCGTCGTCGTCGTCGTCGTCGTCGTCGTCAGCGACGTCGTCGTTAGCGAGGAGGAGGGGCGAGGAGTGTCGAAGGGAGGGCGGGCGAATGGAAGGATGGCGCAAGGCAGCGTCAAGCCGGCTTTCGCCTGAGCGCCGCCTGCCAGAGAGATACCTTCCCCGGCCACCCCGACGCCGTGGCCGGGAGGGAGGGGAGGGAGGCAGAGCCAGAGGAGAGATTAGACGGAGGGTTGATGCGGAATGGGGAGCGGGAAAGGGGGAAGCGGGAGGGGGCGGGGGTGCAGGGTAATGACCAGCAGGCGTTTACAACATGTGTTCCTCCTCCCCAATCCCCATCAATCCCCTGATTCTCTCCCTTGTTTCTCCCCCTCAGCCCAGCTTGGCCCAGATCGCTCCGGGCGGGTCCGAGTCGATCTCATGCAACGCCGACCCAGCTCGGATCATGTCAGCCCAGCCCAGTCCATGCATGAGCATTTCAATCTTGGCTGCTCCAACTCATTTCTGCTCGTCTGGCTCGGTCGAGTTCAAGTGGGCTCAGACAAACCCAGTCCAGCTCACTCCAGCTTGGTCCAGTTCCGCGCAGTCAATCCAGCTCAGTCCAGCTCAGTCCAGGTTAGTGCAGCTAACGCCAGGCCGTCCGGCCCAGCCCGCCTTGGCCTTTTTCATTCCAGTTTACCCAGCTCGATCCAACGTACCGCGCTCGCAAGCGTAGATCTGTGGCCACCCTTCGGTTCTTGGTGAGATCCCACACGTAGTTTCGCGGGGGACCTTTTTTGTGATCTCCTCGATGGATCAACCTGTGCGAGCTGGTTCCGCGTTGCGCTGCTTGCTCGAAAGTCAGTCGCCCTTGCTGCTTTCCAGAGGCACACCACAATCTGGACTGTTTTGGGGCCGGGTCGTATCTTTTGATAGGTCGATTTGGTCACAGAAGGGAAGGACACGCCTGCTGCTGATGATGCTGATAATGTTGATGACGATGATGAGTATGATGATGGTGATGATGATTATGACGCTGCTGACGATGATCATGATGATGATGACGATACTGATGATCGTGATGATGTTGATGTTGATGATGATGATTGGGCTGATGATGATGCTGATGATGCTGATGCTGGTGATGCTGATGATGATCATGATCATGGTGATGCTGCTGCTGTTGATGATGATACTGCTTCTGTTGATGATGCTGCTGATGATAACGACGACGGCAATGGTGATGCCGATACCAATGGTTATGCTGATGCTGATGATGCTGATGATGCTGATGATGCTGATGATGCTGATGATGCGATGAGGTGTTGATGGTGATGTTGATGCTGGTGATGACGATGATGACGATGATGATGATGATGATGATGATGAGGATGATGATGAGGATGATGATGATGATGCTGATGCTGATGATGATGTTGACGAGGACGATGACGATGACGATGGTGATCCTGATGATGATCATGATGCTGCTGCTGATGTTGCTGGTGATGATGATGATGATGATGATTATGATGATGATGATGATGATGATGATGATGATGATGACGCTGATGATGATGATGATGATGATGATGATGATGATGATGATGATGATGCTGCTGATACTGATGTAACAGTTGTAGTGGATGGTGATGGCGATACGATGATGGTGCTGATGATGACGATGATGATGCTGATGATGAAGATGGTGATGTGATGATGACGATGATGTTGCTGCTGAGGATGATGATGGGTGATGACGATGCTGATGATGATACTGTTGATGATGATGATGCTGATGATGCTGATGATGATGCTGATGATGATGATTGTGATTGTGATTGTGATTTTGATGATGCTGCTGATGATGATTGGGGGGATGATGATTCTAATGATGGGTGGTATTGATGGGTGCTGGATGATGGACGGTGGACGGTAGGCGGTGGTCGGTGGAAGGTGGAAGGGGGGATCGTGGATGGTGATGACGGTGATTATGATGTTAGCCAAGATGACGACGACGATGCTGATGGCGACGATGATGATGATGATGATGATGATGATGATGATGATGATGGTGATGATGGGTATGGGGATGGTTATGAGGATGGTTATGAGGCGGATGAGGATGAGGATTGTGGTGATGATGGTGATGATGGTGATGATGATGATGAGGATGATGGTGATGATGTTACTACTGCTGCTGCTGATGAGACGGATCAGGAGGATGAAGGCGAAGATTATGATTATGATGCCTCCCTCAATCCGTGAAGCCCTTGCAACTGTTCAGAACGAATATGCGTGCCGTTAACGGAAGAAGCACATTTTGAAACGGAGCCGCCCCCAATCCGTGAAACCCTTGACGAGTGTGCGCGGCGCTAAAGCGAAAACCACATTTTGAGAACGACCCGCCTCCAATCCGTGAAACTCTTGTGCAATCTTTTGAACGAGCGTGAGCGCGCGCTAGGTCGAGAGCCACGTTTGGAAATCCACCCGCCCTCAATCCGTGAAACTGGTGCCAGTTTTTTAGCTCCAGTCTCATACATAGCAAGTCAGTCTCAGGCGAAATGCTCGGCCCGCCCTTCCGAATGGCCCCGGGGTGCGACAGGGTGGAGTTATTCATGAGGGAAAGTGATGGAGGAGGAGGAGGAGGAGGAGGAGGAGGAGGAAGGAGAGGAGGAGGAGGAGGAGCAGAAGGAGGAGGAGGAGTAGAAGGAGGAGGAGGAGGAAGAAGAGGAGTAGGATGAGCAGGAGGAGGAGGAGGAGAAGCATGATGGAGGATCAGGCGGAGGAGGAGGAGGAGGCGGATGCCAAACTCAGCGGCACTTCGGCCCCAATGCTCGGTTGGCTCTGCCTCCCACGCTCGTGTGCCGACAATAGGAATGATAATAGTAAGTTTACGCAGAACAAAAATACGAATCAGACTACGCATAACACTAACACTCATAATCTTACTGAGAGCAAGCACAGCAATAATACGAGTATTGCCACCACGACTATTCAGCATACTAATGATACGAAGCTCATCATATTAAGAAGAATGCGACTAAACCTGAAACTGCGAATATGACGAGCAAGAGCAAGACGCCGAACAAGACAACTAACCATATTGATAGGAACACAAAGACGAACAATGCACATACTAAGAGGAACCATCGACTAATACTAACAACCCTAGTCATAGTAATACTACTACTGCTACCACACATTGATACGAATACGGATACGAAGAAGACGATCACAATTACTTATACGTTCACGAATCGGAGTACTGCTGATACTACTAGTATACTTGTACTAATAATACTAGTCATTGCTAAGACCCAGAGAAATAATACTACTACTAATGATGAGAAGAGGAGGAGGAGTAGGAGGATGATGAGGAGGGGGAGGAGAAGGAGGAAGAGGAGGAGGAGGAGAAGGGTGAGGAGAAGGAGGAGGGTAAATTGTAAGACGAGGAGGAGGAGGAGGAGGTGGAGGAGGAAGGAGGAGGAGGAGGAGGAGAGGAGGAGGAGGAGGGAGGAGGAGGAGGAGGAGGAGGAGGAGGAGGAGGGAGGAGGGGAGGAGTGAGGAGGAGGGAGAGGAGGGCGGAGGAGGAGGAGGCGGATGAGGAGGTGGACGTGGCCAGGATGAGGTGTCGGAGGAGGAGGGGAGGAGGAGGAGGAGGAGGAGGGGACGGGACGACGACGAGGACGAGGACGAGACGAAGGAGGAGGAGGAGGAGGAGGAGGAGGAGGAGGAAGGAGGAGGAGGAGGATGGGGAGGAGGAGGAGGAGGAGGAGAGGAGGAGGAGGAGGAGGAGGAGGAGGAAGAGAAGGAGTGTCCGAGACAGCATACTCCAGATCGTTCAACCAGCAAGCCCCCGCCAATGCTGCCACCCTGCCCGATGCCCCTCTCCCACCCCATGCGCACCGGGGTCATCGCGATCGTCGTCGTCGTCATCATCGTCGTCGGAGGAGGAGGAGCAGGAGGAGGAGGAGGAGGCGTTCTTTACGGCACATCGTTGACCGTGCGCTTGGCCGAGCAGCGCGCGCAGCGCCGCCGCCGGGGCCAGGTCGACCCGGACGCCGTCTTCTTCCCGCAGCGGCTCGCCCCGCGGCTGGCGCCCCACACCGAGAGCGGCGCGCGCCCCCTTTTGCCCCTCGGGTCAAGGTCCACGTCCACCGCCTCGGAGTCGTGCCCTAAGATCTCGAGGAACGGTGGATATGGATATCAGGAGCAACGACAGGAGGGATAGGCAGAGGAGGGGATGCATGGACCCCGAATCACCCACTGATCGCAAGTAGGGGCCCGACAACCCCAGCCAGCCCAGGAACGTGCGGATTCACAATCGGGGTCCCATCGCCAATTATCGGCGATGTATCGCCGATTCCAGGTCGATGTGTCCCCCCCTGTGCCTATCCCCCCTATCGTTGCCCCACGCGGGCGGGCAGGTATCCATACCCTCCTCTCCCCGAATCCTCGGCATACGATTCAGCGGCAGTGCGTGTGGTCATATTCTGACCACGCGGGTCGTCGTGGTCGTCGTGGTGGCGGTCGTGGTGGTGGTGGTGGTGGTGATGATTGTCGTCGTCGTCGTCGTCGCGATCGTCGTCGCGATCGTCGTCGCGATCATCGTCGCGATCGTCGTCGCGGCCGTCTTCGTCGTCGTCGTCGTCGTCGTCGTCGTCGTCCTCTTCCTTCTTCTTCTTCGTCTTCTTTTTCTTCTTCTTGTTCTTCTTCTTCTTCTTCTTCTTCTCCTTCTCCACCTCCTCCTCCTCCTCCTCCTCTCTCCCCTCGTAGCCATTTTGGCTCAAGTGATCTTGGCTCACGCCAGCTTGGCTCAAGCGCGCTTGGGCTGGAGATGGACCGGGGAGCCGCCGTGCCGTGGAGGTCGTCCGCTTTCTGAAGGGAGGCCCAGAGGTGGGCCCCGTTCTCTCGCGAAGCTCACGGCCAAGATCTTCGTCGCCAAGCTGAGTTCTGGAGGTCTCGCTGCGGGTCCATCGGCCAGGTCTTCGGAGACCTCGAGCCTGTCGACAGGCTCCTGGCCGCGGTTCCTGTGCTGGCGCGCCAGCTGGGCAAGAGCCAGGAGGACCTTCCTCCCGTCGACGTGCGGAGGCGGAATGTGGCGGTGCGTGCTGAGGCGGTGCCGCACCCGCTCGGCACAGCGGCTGCTGCTGACCTCCGCAGTGCCGCGCAAGGCCCTCGCCCGGGCCGCGCGCCTGCTTCTGTGGGCGTGCCCCCGTCCAAGACCGCCGTCGGGACGGCGGCGCAGAGGGTGCGCAGGTAGAGAGGGGGAGCGTGTGTCGTGGACCCGCAGGACCAAGATCCCCCACGGAGGGAGGAGGCGGACCTCGGCGCCGCCAGCCTCTCCGCGGACGTCGCGGTGTTCGTGCCTCGCTTAGTCGGCGGCGGGGACGGCGGCGCCGAGGAGCTTGTGCATTAGTTCGACGGTGGCTGGGCCACGGCCTCGGCGCGCTGGCCTGGGCTGTGGGAGGTCTGCGCCCTCCCAGTGTTGCTGCCCGACGTCTCCTCGGACCTCGTGGTGCACGCGTCGCCTTCGGTGCTGGAGGAGGCTGGTCGTGGGGACTCCGCCTTCGCGTTTGAGTGCGCCCCTGGTGCTTGGGATGGCTGCCCAGAGGAAGGGGACGATAAAAACTCCGTCGTTCATGACGTTGTGGACGAGGTGGCGCACCTGGCCGACGCGCTGTTTCCCGTTCAGTCGTAGGGCCTCGTGCTCGCCGCCTCGCTGTGCTCGGCATCTGGTGGTCTGGGCGATCTCTCTTCACTCTTCGGGCTTCTCGAAGCGGAAGGGGCCGCATCGTCCTCGGCAGCGTGTGCCTTCGCCTCCTCGTGGTGCGCCGCTCAGTCTCTCGCAGGAGCAGCTGAGCTCCTCTTCGATCAAGCCGCCAGACCCACAGGCAGAGTGCCAGCACTCGTACTGGTGTCGTAAGTGGCCTTGCTCGAGGTCTGCCTGTCGGAGTGTGGCTGCCGGTATGGAGTGTTCTTCGTGCTGTGCGTGTCGTACTGCTCGAGGGCGTGCAGCACGGTGGACAATGAACTGCGTAGCGGCAGAGTCCTCCTCCTCTTCCTTCGTCGTCGTCTTCCTGTCGTCCTTTTTCGCCCCCCTCCCGTGCAGAAGTTGGCGACAGGCAGACAAGGAAGGATCGGAGAGGGGATTAGGGGCGCGGTCAATGGTTCGCAGCGAGGGGCATCTGATGAGGATCGAGGTGAACTTCTTTCCAGATGGCATGGAAATCCCCTCCCACCCAGCAGACATCCAACGGATCACCGACCTTCTTCCGAACTAGGTGTGGTCGTCATCTACGTGCCCCGAGCGTGTGGGGGTGTGGAGGGGAGAAGGGGGAAGGAGGCAAGAGGGGAGGTGGATATTGGAGGATGAGAAGGAGGAGGAGGAGGAGGAGGAGGAGGAGGAGGAGGAGGGGGAGGAGGAGGCGGAGGAGGATGAGGAGGCGGAGGAGGAGGTGGAGGAGGTGGAGGAGGAGGATGAGAGCAGGAGGAAGAAGATGGGAGCGGGAGGAAGAGGGGGAGTTGGAGGGGGAGGGGGAGGGGGAGGGTGATGTGGAGGAGGAGGAGGAGGAGGATGAGGAGGAGGAGGCGGAGGAGGAGGAGGAGGAGGAATAATAATGATACTAATAACAATACGAATAATAATATTATTAATGATGATGATAAGAAGAATGATACGAATAATCATACTGATAAGAAGAAAAAGGATAAGCATGCTACTAATAATAGTAATAATAATATTCATAATAACAACAACAATAATACTAATACTACTAATACTAATACTAATAGTAATAGTAATAATAATATTAATAATAATGATGCTAATAATTATACTGATAATAATAATAATAAGAATAGGAATGCTACTAATAATAAGAATAATAATCGTAACAAGAAGAATAAGACGAATACTAATACTAATAAGAGAAGAAGAAGACGAATAAAACTAATAATAATAATAATAATAAGAATAAGAAAAAGAAGAAGAAGAAGAGGAGGAGGAGGAGGAGGAGGAGGAGGAGGAGGAGGAGGGAGGAGGGGAGGGGTGAGGGGGAGGGGGAGGGGGAGGAGGAGAGGGGGAGCAGCGATTCTGGCGAGCAGGAGCGTGGGGGTGGGTCGAGGTTTTGGTTTCGGACGGTTTTTGTGCTTTCTTCTGCCTCTGCGGGCCGTCTTCGTGCTCCGGGACCGTCAGAATCCGTATTAGAAACTGCACCAGAAGGACCCCAGGAGGGGTCCGGGGACCGATTTTGAGCGGATTTGGCTTCCCCCGCCCCTCCTGCCAGATTTTCTCGGGTCCCAACCAGTTCAGACCACCTGGACGCCTCCAACCTGTCCCCCTCCCTCTGGCAGGCGGCAACGGCTACTTTGTCAACAATTGCGGCGCGTTCCCCGCACGAGGGCTGGACTTCGGTAGCAGCTCATGGGAACCTTGCATGTCCTCGAAAATCCGTCGTTAGAGTGCACTGGCGTGCGCTGGCGTCTGGCAGTCGATGAGAACTCGCAGAATTAGCGTCGATGAGCCTCGATCTAGCGTTGATAGCGTCGACTCGCGTCGATTAGCGTTCGAATCGCAAAAGCCAGCAAGATGGCATGGGAGGTTTTCATGTGTTGTCACAGAAACGGGCGGTGTCTGCGGACGAATTGTGAACCGCACCGCGTTGACGTCTGAGGAGGCGTCATCGGTGTTCGACCCAGGAATTGTGCGGTGTATAGTGTGTTGGCCCTCAGAGCCGACAAGCTACCTTGGGTTTCTTAATAAGCGTGGGGGGGTACCCCCCCGATGGGGGTCAACCTCGCCTCGTCGTCGCGCCTCGACGGGGGTCGGAGCGCCTTTTCGGCGCGCGGTGGCTGCCCGCGACGAAGGTCGATGTGGGGCTGTCGGCGGGAGTGACGCCCCCCCCCCGACGCTTACTAAGAAACTCTGTGTGTTGGCCCTGAGAAGAGCCATGCTATGCAGCGTTCCGCGTTGGATCGGGGCCCGAGAGGAGTCGAGACGTGGCTGCGGAGCATGGGCACCGTTCTCTCGTCGGGTGGGGCGGAGTGGTACCGTGGGTCGCGCCGCCCGGCTGGTCGCCGCTGAGTGTTCCCTTTGGTTTCCAGGCCACCATGCAAGTTTCCTATTGGTATGCTACAAAGGGTTAAGTCGAGCATGTCCCTCCACAGGGGGAATATTCAAAAGTAGTCAACAGGTCGTATGGGGACGGTCTTCCGGGCATTTTTTTTATTATGTTGTGCATTCTTAAAAAATATGGTTTTTCTTCCAGGATCCACCTGTGGGGGGACATGCCCGACCTAATGTTACAAGGGCCACCACCTGCGCGGTCGCGCGGTCTCGCGGGCGCGCGCGCGTGTCGAGATTTCTGTATCGTCCAGAGCAAGGTCGCGCATGCTTGGACATGTGGGAGGAGGGGGGTGGGGCAAGCCAGGTGCGCTCGCGCAGGATCTGACCTACTACCCCTCCCACCCATCCCTTCCAATGCGTTAGTTTCCCTCTCTCCGCCAAGGGGCGTCATAACGGGCTTGGATCCCCCGGGCGACCCCTCGTCTTACGAACAATCCGACAGGGGGAGAGGCTGTGGAGGAGAGGGCGGATGAGCAGGGGAACGAGCAGGAGGGAGGGAGGGATCTGCGACCGCTTGCGAACCCTACCCCTCCGGCTCCAATCGACGCTGGGGTGTCGGACACCCCCGCTGGGCTCATTTGGAGGCGACGACTGGGGGCGAATGATGCATGTATTCGCCCGGGAGCCTCGCCGAAGGCATGGACCATCGGCGCCCTTGGATACACGTATTGCTCTCCCTTGGCCTATTCGCCCCCGTGCCCCCCCGCCCCGAAGGCTCGAGTAGTGGATCGTTGCAGAATTGGTCTACCCCAAAACTGATTTGTCCGCCGAATCAACGGAGAATACGTAGACTGCCCTGTGGATCTTCGGAACATTTTTTGATACTTCTCGTAAAATCGACAAACAAATCAAGCTTGGGGTACATCGATTCTGTAGTCGATCCCCTACTCGAAATGCATTCTGCTGCAGAAATCTTCCAAATTCCGCCCCCCTGGCCAGTTTTTTCCCAGAACTCTTTGCCGTGCAGGTTTCACGGGGGAGGAGCGGGGGAGGACGGGGAGGAGGAGGAGGACCAGTGTAAACCCAAAAGTCATCAACGATGTTGGAACCAACCCTCCCTCCAAGCTCCCTCTTCATAGGCCCTTACAACGGTTCAGATCCATTGAGGGAACTGCCTCGTTGGAATTGAAGCATGCCCAAATTGTTCTCGGGATTTCCCCGCCACGGATCAACCTGACTGTTGCGTCCTGACGATCTGGAATCGTGCCAGAACGCCGTTTTTGAGACTTCAACACCGCGAATCAACATAATTGTTGCACCCGCATAATCCTGAACCCCTCCAAAACACATTTTCTGGTACGTTGATCATGGGAAGCCGTGAAACTCTTGCAACTTTTGAAAACGAATGTGCGCGGCGCTAAGGCGAGAGCCGTATTTTGAAAAGAGACCGCCCTCAATCCGTGAAACTCTTGCAAATCTTTGAAAACGAAGGTGCGCGGCCATAAGGCGAGAGCCACATTTTGAAAACGACCCGCCCTCAATCCGTGAAGCCCTTGCAATTTTTCTAAACGAATGTGCGCGGCGCTAAGGCGAGAACCACATTTTGAAAAGGATCCGCCAATCCGTGAAACGCTTGCAACTTTTGAAAACGAATGTGCGCGGCGCTAAGGCGAGAGCCACATTTTGAAAACCACCCGCCCTCAATTCGTGAAGATCTTGCAAATCTTTAAAACGAATGTGCGCGGCGCTAAGGCGAGAACCACATTTTGAAAACCACCCGCCCTCAATCCGTGAAACTCTTGCAAATCTTTGAAAACGAATGTGCTCCGCGCTAAGGCGAGAGCCACATTCTGAAAACCACCCGCCCTCAATACGTGAAACTCTTGCAATTTTTGTTGAACAAATGTGCGCGGCGCTAAGGCGAGAGCCACATTTTGAAAACCACCCGCCCTCCAACTGTGAACCAGTTGCCATGTTTTGAGCTTCAGAATCATCAGTGGTGAGGAAGTCTGAGGCGAAACGCCCGGCCCGCCCTAAAAACTGGCTTCGGGGTGCGACAGGGAGAAATTATTTATAAGGGCAAGGAATGGAGGAGACGAGGAGGGATGAGGAGACGAGGAGAAAGAGGGAGGAGGCGGCGGAGGAGGAGGAGGAAGAGGAGGAGGGAGGAGGGAGGAGGGAGGAGGGAGGAGGGAGGAGGGAGCAGGGAGGAGGAAGAGGAGAAGGAGGAGTGGAGGAGGGGAGGAGGAGGAGGAGGGAGGAGGGAGGAGGGAGGAGGGAGGAGGGGAGGAGTGAGGGAGTGAGGATGAGAGGAGGAGGAGGAGGAGGAGGAGGAGGAGGAGGAGGAGGAGGAGGAGGAGGAGGAGGAGGAGAGAGGAGGAGGAGAGGAGGAGAGGAGGAGGAGGGAGGAGGAGGAGGAGGAGGAGGAGGAGGAGGAGGAAACGGAGGAGGAGGAAGAAGAAGGAGGAGGGAGGAGGAAGCGGTGGGCGGGGGAGGGGGACGGCGATGACGCTGAGTGCCAGCAGTGCGCTGGGGGGTTCTCCGGGCCCACGGCTCGGGAGCCTTGAGGCGGGGTCAAGCCAGAGCGCCTGATCTTTCGGGATCCTTCGAATAAGAAAAAACGCCATACGTAAACATAAACTTTGGGCGCTCCGCACGGATTTCCTGGATCTGCGCCGGGCCCCGGCCGAGGTCACCACGCGGTCGGTCACCATACGGTTTTCGGGCCCCGAGGAGAGCCAGGCGTTGTAATTTTTGCACACCGGGCGTTTTCGACCAGCGGCCTCCATGGGGGCCCGTGCCAGGCCCTGGGACTGCCAAAAATCGGCTCCAGACCCCCGGAAGAGAGTGTTTTTGTACCCTCTGGGCCATAACGCGCGTTATGCCCCCTACCCTCCCCCTCTCCCTGCCCCGCCCCCATAACGTAACGCTCTCCTCCCCTCAGTGCGTCCCCGGCACTGCGGCAGTGCGTCCGGCACCAGACAGGGGGTGGGTGCGCGCGTTACCCCCTCCCCACCATAACGCCCGTTACAGTCAACCCGCATAGTCAGGATGGGCAACCTTCCCAAGGGTGCCCTTGCATCCTTTCCTTTCGGCCCGTCCCTGGCCGCTTTCGCCGTCCGCGCCCGGCTCCCCAAAGGCGTCGACATGGCCCTCCAAGGCCCTTGCATCCTCACCGCGCGTCCTGATCATACGGGCTGACTGTACAGTGCCGTTTTTAAAACATGCTCCGCGTGCGGATCATGTATTAAAAATGCAGGGATTTAGTCGGAGGTGAGGGGGTGAGATCGAAGTGAACGGAGAGCCCCCCTACCGGGAAATCGATTTCGGTTTCGTGTTCGTGCGTGCCGTGCGGGCGAGGCGAAGCTGCGTGGGCGGGCGAGAGAAAGTCTCCTGTGGCTGAGGCGCGGCCGGACCAAATGACTCCCTTCCGGGCGGCCGGGGCCCGCGGTGTCCCGCCGGTGTCCCGCTGGTGTCCCGTGTGGCTGAGGCGCGGCCGGACCAAATGACTCCCTTCCGGGCGGCCGGGGGCCCGCGGTGTCCCGCCGGTGTCCCGCTGGTGTCCCGTGTGGCTGAGGCGCGGCCGGACCAAATGACTCCCTTCCGGGCGGCCGGGGGCCCGCGGTGTCCCGCCGGTGTCCCGTCGGTGTCCCGTCGGTGTCCCGATAATGATGTTGTTGATGATGATCATGATGGTTATGTTGATGGTGATGACGATGACGATGATGGTGTCCTGGTGATGATGATGATGATTATGTTGATGTTGATGATGATGATGAGATGACGATGGTGATGATGTTTCTGCCCGTTGTTGTTGATGATGTTGGTAATGATGGTGCTGCTGATGATGATTATGGTCTCCCGATGATGATGATGATGATGATGATGATGAGGATGATGATGATGATGATTATGACGGTGGTGATGATGATGGTGATGGTGATGGTGTGCCGATGATGATATTGATGATGATGTTGGTGATGATGATGCTGCTGATGATGTTGATGATGATAATGAGCTGATGATGATGATGGTGTCCCGATGTTGTTGTTGATGATGTTGACGATGAAAATGATGGTGACCATGATGGTGTCCCGATGATGATGATGATGATGATGATGATGATGATGATGATGATGATGATGATGATGATGATGTTGATGTTGATGATGACGATGGCTGTGTCCCGATGATGATGATGATGATGATGATGATGATGATGATGATGATGATGAGGATGATGATGATGATGATGATGATGATGATGATGATGATGATGATGATGACTATGATGAGATGATGATGATGATGATATGGCCTGATGATGATGATGGCGTTGATGATGATGGCGACGATGATGATGTGAAGATGACAGTGTCCCGATGACGATGGAGATGGTGGTGTTGTTGTTGATGATGATGATGACGTTGAATGTTAGATCGATTGTGATATCGGTAGTGAGATCGATAGTGAGACCGAATGTGGGATCGATTGTGAGATCGATAATCAGATCAATTGTGAGACCGAGCGAATGAGATAGATCGAGTGAGATCGATCGTGAGATCGATCGAGTGAAATCGATCGAGCGAGACCGATAGTGAGATGGATAGTGAGACCGATCGAGTGAGACGCTGCATCCTCCCCCCCCCGAACCTCCTTATCACCCGAAGGGTGGTCGTATAGGTATTACAAACAACGATGAGTTCATGCATACATTCATTCATAAAGTAATCATGTATCAGAAATCCGATATTCTAAAACATCCAATATATCAAAAACTGCCCTGTATGGCCGCGAATAGACACATGCGCCCGAGGGATACCCAGATCCCTGCCGCGGGGCGCGTCGCGAGCCAGTCACGACGTGGAGGGCGTCGGGGCCCTTCCCTCGCCTGTGGCGCTGCCCCGCCCGCCCAGGTCTTCGCTCCCTCGCCCTCCCCCCCCCCGCCCTCTGCGGGGGTGACAGCTAGGGTCAAGTCGGGCATTGTCCCTCCACAGGAGGAACAAAATTCAAGAACAGTCAAACAAAAACAGTCTGGGGACGATGCTCCGACTATTTTTGTTTTGACCGTTCTTGAGAGTATCATTGCCCAGTGCCACGTCTTCCTCCAGAGTCGTCCTGTCCGGGGACGTGCCCCACCTCAGGCCAGGAGGGGGCACCCGGCGGGAGGTGCGAGCATCACTCCCAGACAGCCCCTCGGAGAGCGCAGGGGTGTTTCGGACGAGAGCCCCGCGGCCCCGCGGTGCCCCGGTGGCTCTTCCCGGCGACCTGCTCGACCTCGCGGCGTGTCTCGAGAAGCGTTCTCCTGCTCGTTCCCAGGGCGCGTGCCGGGAGGCTTTCCGCGGCTCCCTGGAAGCTCCTCGGAAGCTCCTGCGAGGCTTCCTTTCTCGTGCTCGCCAGCTTCCCAGGCATCCTTCCCAGCGTCCTTGCAGGCGTCTCCCAGAGGCATTTCACGCGCTGTGGACTGCACCGCTATCCTGGGTTTGGACGGCACAAGTTGACTGCACCGCTATCTGGGCTTTGGACGTCACAGGTTGTGGCCAGGGCCATGGTATCCCCTAACTGTCGTGGTCCTTTCTTCTTCTACTTCTTCTCCTTCCCCTCCTTATCCTTATCCTTATTCTTAATTATCCTTATCCTTATCCTTATCCTTATCCTTATCCTTATCCTTATCCTTATCCTTATCCTTATCCTTATCCTTATCCTTATCCTTATCCTTATCCTTATCCCTATCCTTATCCTTATCCTCCTATCCTTATCCTTATCCTTATCCTTATCCTTATCCTTATCCTTATCCTTATCCTTATCCTTATCCTTATCCTTATCCTTATCCTTATCCTTATCCTTATCCTTATCCTTATCCTTATCCTTATCCTTATCCTTATCCTTATCCTTTTCATGATCCTCATCCTTATCATTATCCTTATCATTATCCTTATCCTTTTCATGATCCTTCTCTATCTCCTTCTCCTTATCCTTATCCTTATCCTTATCCTTATCCTTGTCCTTGTCCTTGTCCTTATCCTTATCCTTATCCTTATCCTTATCCTTGTCCTTGTCCTTGTCCTTATCCTTATCCTCCTATCCTCCTGATCCTTATCCTTATCCTTATCCTTATCCTTATCCTTATCCTTATCCTTATCCTTATCCTTATCCTTATCCTTATCCTTATCCTTATCCTTATCCTTATCCTTATCCTTATCCTATCCTTATCCTTATCCTTAATTATCCTTATCCTTATCCTTATCCTTATCCTTATCCTTATCCTTATCCTTATCCTTATGTCCTTATCCTTATCCTTATCCTTATCCTTATCCTTATCCTTATCCTTATCCTTATCCTTATCCCTATCCCTATCCCTATCCTTATCCCTATTCCTATCCTTATCCTTATCCTTATCCTTATCCTTATCCTTATCCTTATCCTTATCCTTATCCTTATCCTTATCCTTATCCTTATCCTTATCCTTATCCTTATCCTTATCCTTATCCTTTTCCTGATCCTCATCCTTTTCATGATCCTCATCCTTATCATTATCCTTATCATTATCCTTATCCTTTTCATGATCCTTCTCTATCTCCTTCTCCTTATTCTTATCCTTATCCTTATGCTTACCTTTATCCTTATCCTTGCTCTTCTTATTCGCATTTTCCTCCCCGTCCCCTTCTCCGCCTCCTCCTTCGGATCCCCCTCCTTCTCTCATTCTCCTTCTCCTTCTCCTGCTTCTTCTTCTCCTTTTCCTCCTTCTATTCCTCCTTCTTCTTCGCTGCCATCTGCGCTCTTTGCCCCCCCCTCGTCGCGCACATGCCTCGAGCCACGCGGCGCAGGCCCCCCTTCTCCTGGCGCCCCCTCTGCGGCGCTCCCGGCCCCTTCGGGGGGGGGGGCAGGGCAGGTTCGTCCAGTTCGGCTGGAGCGAGTTCTACGGCTCGCTCGAGGCGGGCCCCCGCAGACGCGCTGCACTCCTCCCGGCCTCCGCCCCCCAAGCGGCGAGCGGACTCCGGCCCCGACCTTCTTCCCCTCTTTCGATCGGGCCGGACGAAAGGGGGGGATTGGGAAAGGGGGGGGACGAAATTTGCTGCATGCAGCTGGTTCCGGCCTCACCGAGGGGGCCATTTCTCGATACATAGCCGCCTCCGGCGCCGGGAGGCGCCGGGAAAATCAGCTACGTGAGCTGATTCTCAAACCCCCACTTTGCTATCCTCCTCTTTCGCCCGACCCGATTCGAGGCCTCCCAGATGGGGTCGGAGGGTCGCGCGGCATTGCCCATGCATCGCCGAAGCATCGCCGATGCGGCTCCATGTGCAGCCTGATTTTCTCCACGCCGTTGTCGCCGGTGCATCGCCGACGTCGCCAGTGCATCGCCGATGCATCGCCGAAACTGCGCGATCCTTCGACCCTGTCTGCGTACTCGGGCCCCGTCTAGGAGGCCCTTCCTTGCTGCCTTCGAAGACGAACAAATCCTACTTTCGGAGGTCCGCGCGGAGTTTCTTGGATCGGCGCGGGCCCCCCTGGCGGCGCCTCCGGCGCGCTCCGCGCGCCAAGGAGGGGAGGTTCCCGTGACGATCCAAGAGAGCCGAGCGGACCTCTCGACAGTTTGCGTGCTCTGGCGATGTCTCTTCTGCTAACGTACGGCAGGTCGCGTTGTGCGACCGGCGGCGACCCCGCCGCCGGCGTTCCGTGTTGAACGCCGCCAGCGAACCAGAATCGGTCGATGCTGAACGATCTGAAAACGGCCGATCGTTCAAGTTTGAACGATCCCCCCGGTGTCAGCAATCAACGCCACTGTAGACACGACACGGACCTGCCGTACTCGTCGGTCGTCAGAGCGCACGTCGGAGGTCGAGGTCCTGGGCGAATCAAATGTCCGTATCCGTGACCTCGCGGGCCAGGCACCTGGGCCGCGACCCCGCGGATGACGATCGAGCAGGAGATCGACTGCAGAGTTGATTTGCCCCCAAGTTGTTTGTTTCGCCGAATCTCGTGACACGAGGGGGAAAAGATGTCCGTAGATCGTCGAACATTCTACATATCCATTGGCTTACGCCGCACCGCCGACCCCTTGGGCCGTCTTGGAGCCCTCTTAGGGGCCTCTGGAGCTACCTTGGGTCGATCTTGGAGCCTTCTTGGGCTGCTGTGAGCCTCGTGGACGGCCAAGAGGCGACTGCGCTAAACACAGACGTTTTCCCTCGGGAGTGGGACGATCTTCTGCTCAGCAGGTTCGACGACGACGTCCAGCTCGGGGCGGGCTGATGCTGCCGTCGATCTCCCCCGCTCGAGCACGGCAACCTGCTCCCCGCCGCCCCCCCCGCGCGGGGCGCCAACTGCCGTGCGGCCGCGCTCCGGAGGGGCCGGGCCGCGAGGGCGTGGCTCTGCGGATGTGCGCCGGGGAGATCCGCGCGGCCGCGCTCTCGGGGCCCCTGAGCCAACCTGGCATCGCTCGGACGTGTGCATTTTTTCTCGGCGAGAACCATCGAGGACCATCCTGGACCATCGAGCAGAAAAAACACGCACGAAACCGGAAAATGCACGGGAAATGGACGTCCGAACGACGGCAAGTCAAGGGCGTACAAAAACGCCTCTACCCTGGTTTAGGAGGCGCTGGGCGCTGAACCTCCCTGCTGGGCTGACAGGGTAAACACCCTGCGCATCGCGCGTGCCGCGCGGCGTCCTGGCGGCTCTCTGGCCGGTGGGAGTTACCAGGAGGTTTACTGACCACGGACTTGTACAGTCAAAAACCATAATAAGGACGCGCGGTAAGGACGCAAGACCCTTGGAAGCCGAAGTTGGGATTGTTGGGGCGGCGGACGACGAAAATCTCAAGGACGCAAGAGCAAGGAAGAGCAAGGACGCAAGGGTACCCTGAGCAAAGTCGCGCGTCCTTATCAGGGTTTTTGACTGTAACCCAGGGTAGGGGCGTTCTTTCATTCCTAAACTGAGAGCAGCGCTACGCATGGGGGTCGGCCGGGCGAGGGCGCGCCCTTTGGGCGCGCGTGGCCGCGCTCTCGCCGGGGGCGGCAAAAAGAGGGGGGGGGTGGACATCATGGCGGGGGCCACGATATCTCCCCAGATTTTTTCATGGCGCCCCTTCTTTTTTCCAGACGTCCCCAACCCCCTGGGCCGTGCACATGCCGCCGGCTACGATTTGCACCCCCCCCTCTTGGACGCCCCCCTCTTGGCCGCTCCCGATCTCGGGGCCCCTGAAGAGTCGGGGAAGCGCGAGACTCGGGCAAGCCGGCACCCGGGTCTGCCGACGTTTTTTCGGACGAGCGCGTCCTCCTTTCTGGCGGCCCAGTCTTCGCGGGCTGCTCGTGCAGCGGGAGCTCGCGCCGAATTTCAGGCTGGGTCTCGGCCTCGTCGTTTTTATGATGGCCCCCGTCAGGCCAACCCGAGTCCCCCGCACCCGAGTCTTACGTCGCCCCGAGAGAGGCGCCTCGCAGGGGTCGCGCCCAAGTGCCCTCTCTTGGGCGCGCGCGGGCGCCCCCAAGGGGCCGTGCCTCGGTGGTCCAGGCGGCTTTTGATTCGAAGGAGAAGAAAACGGCCTTCACGCAAACTCGTGGCGCTCCGCGCGGATTTCTCGGTTTTGCGCTGGGCCCCCCCTGGCGGCGCCTCCGGCGCCGCCCTCGGCGCGCTCCGCGCGCCAGGGAGGCGGTCCAGCGCAGATCCAAGAAATCCGCGCGGAGCGCCAAATGTTCATATTTCTTCTTCTTCTACTATTGATAGCAATACTTCCAGCGCCCAGTGCCGAAAGCTCGGACGGACCCGAGGACGCTCCGCTCAGTTCAGAGGCAACGATATGGGGCGATATGCATAGGGTCACAGGAGGAAAAGTACCCATACCGCTACCCTTGCTTCGTTTTCGCCTTTTTGTGCCTCCTGTGAGGTCCTCGTCGCCACCGCTGAATTCGCCTCAAGATTTTGGTCAGGACGCACTCCAGGAGAGGTCCGGAGGGTAGCGGTATCGGTACCTCTTGGTTTCTCCAGGGGGTGGTGCATCGACCCCCAATCGCCCATGGATCGCCGATGGGGGCCCGATAGCCCCAACCTGCCCAGGAACGTTCGGATTCACTATCGGGGGCCCATCGCCGATCTATCGGCGATGTATCGCCGATTCCAGTTCGATGTTTTCCCCCTGTGCCAGTCCCCCCGATCGTTGCCGCTCATCAGTGCCTGCAGCACGGTGGCAGAGAACCCTGACATCTCCTCGCTGTGAAAGTAATCGCGACGGAAGGTTTTGGCCAGTTTTCGGCCTCTGGGGGCCTTTGCCGTGGCCCGGGGCTGTCACAAAAGCTACTCACCTGGGAATGCGTCCAGACCTCTGGGGAGTTACGATGTTCTGGAGGTGGGAAAGGGGTGTGGTGTGAAGGGGTGTGGGGCCAATGTTATGTAAACCAGGACTTGGCGATGGTATCTCTGGTAGATAACATTGCCATCTCCATTATTGGTACCACACCTCTTTATTCCAGACCCCTTTCCGACCTCCAAAATGTGAACACATCACGACGTCGGATGTCTGGGAAGCGTCGAGGCAAACGGCATCCGGGGGGGGTCCTTGTTTGCTTATGGGGGCTTCACGTTCCCAGACATCACGCGGTGCGTGTCTTCCCACGCATCAGCTCAGCTCCTAAGGGATCCTTCCATTTGCACCCGTTTCAGTTCGACCACTTCAGGGTGTTCACCATTCCAAGTCCTTCCTCCACATGGTCTTCGGCCCCAGCCCGCTGCGTCGCAGGCATTTTGACACTCCTTGTGCGCCAATTTCCTTCACAAGGACTTCCCCTGTACGTTTTCCGCGCGTCTTCCCGCTGCCTGCCTCCGGTTCGTGTTTTCCCCATGTTCTGCTCGGTTGCTTAGTACACCTTCAAAAAAGCTTTCCGCTACTTGATGGCCCTGGGCTCCCGCTGTTTAGACCGCAGCCCGCACGTCCTCTCGGCGGCATCCCGTGATGGTCTGCATGATCTGAGTGGCTCTGTCGGCGCCTTCGCTCTGCTTCTTCCTCTTCCCACGTGTCCAGATTTGCTTCGGCGCACCCCGCCTTTAGCCCGACCGGCGCCCGACCGCTTCCGCCCCTATGCGCCCGATTTGTATATATATATTATCATGATTTGTTGTTGTTATTATTATTATGAATACTATTCGTATCATTACTATCATTCTTATTATTAGTATTACTATTCATTATTGTTCTTATTCTTATTCTTATCATTATCATTATTATTATTACCATTATTATTATTATCATCATCATTATTATTATTATTATTATTATTATTATTAATATTATTACTATTATTATTATGATTATGATGAAGGTTATGATGAAGATTATGATGAAGATTATGATTCTGATTATGTTTATGAGTATGCTTCTGATTATGCCTATGATTGTTCTACTATATATATACACATACATAAAGCACGTACTCTCCTAACGTGGGCAGCTCAACGGTCTGGACCCCTTGCTCGGGGCCTGGCTTTCCGTCTGGGTCTTTTCCCGAAGCGGTGCCTGCACCTGGAGCCTTCGCACTTGCGTTTCCCAAGACACGGAGGGGTGCGCCGAGGATCCGCCACGCCCCGGCCCGTTGCCGCCCCTGTGGCCCTCCCGCGGCCGCCCGAGGAGGTGCCCCGAGGAGGACTCGCCATGCTCCGGCCAGCTGCCGCCACGTTGCCGCCCGTGGGGCTTGGCTGTCCAGGGGGCCGCCACGCTGCCGCCTCGCTGCCGCCTCGCTGCCGCCTCGCTGCCGCCTCGCTGCCGCCCCGCTGCCGCCCCGCTGCCGCCCCGCTGCCGCCCCGCTGCCGCCTCGTGCGGTGGGTGGGGCCGACGAGGTTTGGTCGCGCTGCCGCCCCGTTGCCGCCTCGTTGCCGCCTCGTGCGCTGGGCTTGTTTGGCGAAGTGTCGCCACGCTGCTGCCTTGTTGCCGCCTCGTTGCCGTGCCTGGCTTGCGCCACGTATGCTGCACCACGTGGATTGCGCCACGTAGCTTGTTTCCATATAGCTTACACACCCACAGGGCAATCACTTACTGTTTGTGGCTCGACCAAGCTGCGCCCAAAACGCCCAAGGGCCTCCTCCCCCCCGTCCGAGCCCGGAGGTGTTCTCCCAGGCGGCAGTGGAGCGGTACCTCGTGAAGGCGAACCAGCAGCGGTGCAGGAGCAACGGGGCGTGAACCGCCTCGCCACCGCCGCTGGCGCGGATCGGGTGGCTATCCCAGAGGGAGCCGATCGGGTGGTCAAGACAGGGCGGGGGAGGGGGGCAGCCGCTCCCCTCCTTGACGTCCTGCGCCGTGAAGGAGTCAAGGAAATTAGGTTTTCGGCAGTGTTTGGCCGCCCAGGGGCCCTTGCTGGGTCCCCAAGGGCAGTAACAAAAAACGACTTGGCACAAGGAGGCGGTCCCAGGGCAAGGGTTCAGACGTTCGGGGAGGCACGCTCCGAGAGCCACGACGTCGGTCGTCCGGGTATCCCCCTCCCCCCGTCCATTTCCTGGTCCTCTGCTCGCAGGACCGAGCTGGAGTGGGACGGCTGGGGAGAGGACTCGGCGCCCCGCCCTCCCCGCCACCACCACGCGCGCGCGCGCGGGGCGCGCCCCCTTTGCCGCTCAGGCCGCCGCGCGCTCGCTGGGCGGTTCCGGCGGCTGTGCCGAGGCCCCGCTTGCGCTTCGGGCCCCTCCTCGGCTCCTGCCTTCTCCTGTTCCTCCCCGGCCCCCTCTTCTCCTCGTCCTCCTCGTGCTCTTCGTCGTCCTTCTCCTCCCTCGTCTCGTCCCGGGGCCCTGCTTGAGTGGAGGGTCTGATTCTGATTCTTCGTCGCACCCTTCCTCACCCTCCCGGGAGGGGTGGGTGGGGGAGGTGGGGGGAGATGGGGAGTGAACAAGTGACGGGGGGGGGAATGGAGTAGGATGGGGAGCAGGAGCGTAAGCAGAAGGGGAAATAGAAGGAGCTGTACCGATCTGCTGCTGCTGGTGCTGATGCTGTTGTTGATGGTAATGACGATGATGATGCTGATGATGGTGATCAAGTGTGATAATGATGCTTGTGATGATGATGCTGTTCATGATGCTGATGCTGGTGACTATGATACTATATGATTATGATTATGATTATGGTTGCGACGCTGATAACGGTGATGATGCTGCTGCGGCTGATTATGATGATGCTGATGATGATGAAGTTGGTTGTGATGATGATGATGATGATGATGGCGAAGACGACACCGATCGTTATGATAGTGATGTTGATGGTGATGATGGTGATGCTGATGATCATGCTGATTATGATGATGCTGATGGTGATGATTCTGAAACTGGCGATGATGATCATGATGATGATGACGACGATGCTGCTGATGCTGCTGATGATGATGATGGTGATGTCGATGATGATGCTGATGATGATTCTGATGAACATGCTGCTGATGATAATGATACTGCTGCTGATGATGACAACGCTTATGATAATGATGCTGGTGCTGTTGCTGATGACGAGGATGATGATGATGATGATGATGATGATGATGATGATGATGTTCATGGCGGTGATGCTGATGCTGATGATGATGCTGCGGATGATGATGATGCCGAGTATGATGACAATTGTCATGCTGCTGATGATGATGCTGATTATGCTGGTGATGATAGTGCCGATGATGAGGATGATGACGACAACGACAATGATGACGATGATACTGATTATGCGAATGATGATAATGTCGATGATGAGGATGATGACAGCAACGACAACGACGACGACGATGATGATGATGATGGTGATGGCGATGATGATGATTTTGATGCTGATGGTGATGATTCTGAAACTGGCGATGATGATGATGACGACGCTGCTGCTGATTTTGATGATGATGATGATGATGATGATGATGCTAATGATGATGATGCTGATGCGGATGGTGATGATGATGATGGTGATGAGGATGCTGCTGCTGCTGCTGCTGATGATGATGATGATGATGATGATGATGATGATGATGATGGTGACCACGACGCCGACGACGACCATTATGATGATTCTACAGGCTTACGCCACATCCGCCGACCCCTTCTGTGAGTGTTGCGAGGCCAGGAGTTTCTGGCCAGCGGCGTCTTGTGTGAGGGTGCGGTGTCGCGCGCGGGTGGTGGCAGATATGTAGGGGGTTCAAGTGTTTGCGTGATGCCGGTGGTCTGGGGCGTGTTTTGCGAGCGCCTTGCGTGCTGTGCACCCGGGTGCGGGGTGTCCTTCTGGGAGGTCGGCCTTTCGACCCGCAACCAAGTGGAGGACCACCGGAAGACGAAAGGAGCAAGAATAGTGTGCGGAAGCTGTGATCAGCGAGGCATCACCGCGAAAGATGTGGCAGATAAGTCGAAACGGGTGAAGAGGCTGTTGACGTTCGCAGCGCGCGCGAAACAGTTCGCGCGGCAGCAGCACATTAGCGCCGAGCAAGATACTGAGCACGTCGCGAAGAAGAGTAAGGCTGTATGCGCGGAGTGCATTGCAGTTGGCTTGACGGCTCGCAATACGGAAACGTCTGGAGGTCTTTGGGGGGCCTCCTGGGGGCCTCTTGGGGGCTCCTTGGGGCGTCTTGGCAGCCTCTTGGGGGCCTCTGGCGGCCTCTTGGGGCACTCTTGGGGCCCCCTGGGGCTCGTGGCGGCGGAAAGCTAGATTTTTGAATTTTTGGTTGCCCTCTTGGGCCCCTCTTGGTGCCGTCTTGGGGCCTTCTTGGGCCGTCTTGGGGACCTCTTGGGCCGTCTTGGGGCCATCTTGGGCTGTCGGGGGGCCGTTTTGGGGGCCTCTTGGGCCGTCTTGGGGCGGTCTTCGGG